ACTCGTCTGATTCGCGAGAGATGCTTGTTCCTGAACTACCTAAGCGATCAATCTCTGCACCAGTCAGGAAACAATATGTGAGCTATGCTGCTGAAGAATCGGACATGCGCGAGGCATTACCAGCACTGCTCTATCGAGGGCCAAAGAGCGTCATACCTTCAGGCTTCCCGTTTCATATCGCTCCTTCTTTGCCGGCGGTTGGTGAAAACGGCAGTCTAGACCATGGACAAGATGTGTTGTCTAGGAAGATTCATATTCGGAACGGTGAACATAAAGCGCGAGGCCCGAAATACCTTGATGTAGGGAAAGCAGAACAGAGAGACCATCCGCCGGTAGGCCGACTGGCGCCACCAATCCTCAGTCACGAAGCACTCACCGCGAACGCCAATCTTGGCTTGAACGATCTCAGCTATTATCTCAAACATACCGGACCATCGCCTACGGAGTCCAAGCACCCTAAACTCCGCCAACGAAAAAGGAGTATCAAATTCTTTCGACCGAAGGAGCGAAAAAAGCAGGCACCGGCACATGGAGGAGGTTCTTCTCCTGAGAGAATAGCCAAACAGACACCTATTAACCCCGCTTGGGTGCGCGAGACGAAAACGTCTGGGGGCGTAAGACACCTGCGGATTGTGATACCAACGACGGAAAACGAATGCGATATGACAGTCAAACCGCTTCCAGCGCTACCAGTCCAGGGTCAACAGCACACACGCAATGTCTCGTCCAACGGCTTCGAGGAAGATACGCTGTGTCCGCCTGAGAACTCTGCTGTACAGCATATCCTATACGGATCATCTGAAGCAGCAATGCACTCCTTCTCTGAGCCGCACATGACTTATCATGAACAAGCACGAGCTCATAAACTGCGAGATTCACAGCACGTAAAACGTAAACTAACGCCTGATGGCTATTACAGCAGGAATATCAGAGGGAAATACCGCGACAGTTTTGTTGACGTGGCCGCATGTACCACAGATGCGTTTCACGACGCTATAATGCATGCGCATGACGATGAGGGATTTGAGGAAGAGGATTCAGTGCGTAGGACGGAAAGACTGGAGGAACGGGTTATGCTGCTACAGAGACAGAATATGCGGCTTATGGAGGCGCTGGCGAAGATTGTGGGCGTGGTGCTAGAACATGATGACTTGGATTGTGAGACGATGATGAGGGCGTCGTTGCGGGCGTAGATGCCCCACGAGTTATGATGTGGTTAGAAAGTGAAGTCGGGGGATCCGAGAATGTAGTAATGATCTAACGCGATGTCGTGGATACCGATCATGTTTCGGACGATGAAGGCAAAGTCTCGTATCGGGGCTGTATTGCTCTAAATATAGAATTTCTTTTGCGGCTAATTTGGTGTTGAGTCCGAGGGTAGAAATGATCCGTCGTCATTCGTCTTGTTCAGGGTAATGCCAAGCCCCACCGCCAATCGTATCGATAAGCCAACCACGCCCGTTATTTCTTTGCCCTGCTCTCCCATCTTCGCTGCGGAAGAAACTGTACTCGTCTGAGCTTGTAGAATCTTGTTGACACTTCAATTGCGATTTGCTTTATATAATCCTTTGCCATCCCTGAGGCGACGCATATAAACAATCCTCGGAATCACCGCCAATTTACACCGACATATACAACCACCACAATGTCTGCAGCAGGAGAAGGCCCGCTCTTTAGCACCGATCTTATATCTCCAGAAGTGCTCAAGGCTCTACCAGAAGGTTACAACTGCCGACCCCTCGAGCGAAAGGACTACGCAAATGGGTTCCTGGATGTACTACGTGTACTCACTACTGTTGGTGACATAACTGAAGAGGTAAGTGACATGCATATTCTACAAAACGTAGCAAACAAGGAAATGGACCACTCTCGTTTTACAATCTAGTATAACTAATACGTATTCTCTCCAGCAATGGAACAAGCGCTATGACTGGATGTCCGCCCGCAACGATGAATACTTCCTCCTCTGCATCACCGACTCGTCCAACGCCATTGTCGGTACCGGCGCCCTTATCGTCGAGCGCAAATTCATCCACCAACTCGGTCTTGTCGGACACATCGAGGATATTGCGGTTGCAAAAGACCAGCAGGGCAAGAAGCTCGGACTGAGAATCATCCAAGCGCTGGATTTCGTCGCGGAGAAGGTTGGGTGCTACAAGACTATTCTGGATTGCTCAGAGGCGAACGAGGGGTTCTATGTCAAGTGTGGGTTCAAGAGGGCAGGACTTGAGATGGCGCATTACTATGGCAGGTGAAAAGCTTAAAAAAAGCAAGGTGTGATGGGACTTCGATAAGGCGCTTTTTGCTGTCTGCGTTCATTTGACGAGTATAGGTTATCATTAGACGGTATGCTGTACATGGACATGTATAGAGAGATATGATAGATTATTTTCGGTTCTGTCGAGCTATCTACGAGTTTTCTGTACAGAAATGCAAATCAAGAGGACAAAATGCATGGGCATACAGCATCGTTAAAAAACATATTTAGGAGCATCACTCGAGACAACGACTAGAACAGAGGTTACCGAAATATGTTTGCTAGAAAATCCCAAAACGCTGACTTTGCAGTTTTGTTATGTTGGACATGGTGTGGCTGCATTCATACCAGGAAAACAGTGGAGGGGCTAATGTCCAATTTGATCGCTTCGACGCTTACTCACAAACACCATCTTTACAATAACAATCTTGCGCGACAATGGCTTGATTCGCTGCCATGTTTGTGTCAACAAACTTTTCTATCGAAACACATAGTCCGAAAACCGTATTTTGACAAATATTTCACATATTATATGAGTCACAAGCGGAAAGAAAAAAGTCACTGCAAATCAGAAAGAGATAGTGGTACAAGGAGTCATGGCGCAGGAAAGGTCAAAAGTCCCAGATCACGAGAGCGTAACACAAGAAAACCAAGAACAAGAGACGCCGCCAGCAACACAGCGAACAGTAGCAGTACCGTGTATTTCTCCACCAGAGATCCTAGGCGAAAAATTCGCACCTTACAACACCACCTCATGGCCCAAGATCCCCTCTGGACTCCCTTCCGATCTGTGGACCCCCATACAATGCGCACCCGCTAACTTCACGCCTGACCACTTTCTTTCCGTGTGCCATAATCTACTCGAAAACCCCAATCTCACCGCCTCGCATCTTTCGCGTGCAGAGCTCTCGTACACCAGCTTCACGGACGCAACATTCAACCCGCAGGCCGAGACGCCCGAGGAACTCGCTAACATCATCAAGCACCTGCGCCCAGAATGCCGGCCACGGCTAATCCGAGGCGGACTGCCAGGATACACACTTGACTACACAGTTGTGCGGAAACTGGTGCCACGGAATCCTAAGTTGGACGATGCACTTATGCAGACTTGTCATTTGTTTGTTTCAGAAGAGGATATCACGGTGACTACTGTGGATGAAGAAAAAGAAGAGACGGTTAAGGCAGAAAGACACATGGTCATTTACATTCCGCATGTTGACGACACCGACAGTGGTGCCGAAGCGATTCCCTACTACCATCCCAAAGTCCGCGCTTTGGCAATCCTGTACACGTATTTTCCTACGAAATCTGACGAACCCTCTGGCCTGGAGTCACCGGGCTTGCTATCCGTCTACTACAACCTTTTTCCTCAAGTACCACTGGACAATCGACTCGAGCGCACAGCACTCAAGCTTGCAGAGATCATACACAAGCATGCGCGCGGTCGACAGGCAGGCTACAGGAAACGCGTGCATCATGATCGGATAATCGGACAAAAACGATTCCAAGACACGTATGCATATCTCAAGGGCAAATACGCAAAGGATCTCATCACCGCATGGATCGAGCAAACACCACCCGAGAAACATGTCTTCGAGGATCTAGGCATCGCCGCCTTTCTTGAGGAACTCTGGGTAGACATGTACGGCGGCGAAGCCAACTCCGAAGCACCCGACGACGAAGTATCTAAATCCGAAAGAAAGAAGGCAGCACAATCAAACTTCCCCGGCTTCGTAGACATCGGCTGCGGTAACGGCCTCCTCGTTTCCATCTTAACCACCCAAGGCTGGTCCGGCTGGGGTTTCGACGCGCGCAGCAGAAAATCCTGGGATACATTCCCTCCATCGCACGCTGAAAAACTCAAGGAAATGCTACTCGTACCAGCTATCATCCAAGCCTCTCGTTCTCTTTCACCAATCACGCCTGAAACCCTTTCGTCCACGACAACAACGACACCCCACCACAGCGGCATCTTGCCCCCAAAAACCTTCATAATCAGCAATCATGCCGACGAACTCACACCCTGGACTCCTCTTCTCGCATATCTGAATTCCTCACCTTTCATCGCTATACCATGCTGCAGCCATGATCTAGGCGGCACACGGTTCCGTGCGCCGGTGCATGCTAAACACCTTGTTGCAGACCCGGCGACTGAGAAGGCACGGAAGAAGAACAAGCAGCCATCGGCGTATGCGAGTCTTTGCTCGTGGGTGTGTCATTTGGCGGAGGAGACGGGGTTTGAGGTTGAGAAGGAGTATTTGAGGATTCCTAGTACGAGGAATGTGGCAGTGGTGGGGAGGAGGCAGGTAGTACATAAGGAAGGGGATATGCAAGGCGGTGATTTGGAGATGGAAAAGAGAATGAGTTTCTTGAAGGAATTGGTTGAAAAGGAGATGAGTGGGTTGAGTGTTGAGCAAGTAGGGAGTATGTGGATGAACAGTGGGGATGGGTTACTGAAGCCAGGAAAAGGCGGACATTGAAGAGACTGATTGCAACGACTCTTCCCGACAGTGGTCATGGAACAACTTGTAATGACAAAAACAATTGAAGAATCACCGAAGCGTATGGGGTATCATTGAGAACACGGTCATCTAAGACTGCGACATCGCAACTCAGACAAGCGATCCATTCGTAGTATCATCCGGTCATTTCGCCGTATCCGAACCCATTTTGTTATGCAGTAAAGCCCGACATGAAGATGAAACGATATCTAGCCCTACTCCGAAAAGCCCTCTCAACTGCTTTAAGAAGCAGGAGCAGCACCACGGCCACGACCGAATCCACCACGGAACTCGGGCTTGAACTCGCCGGGAGCACCGCCCTCACCCTTCTCGCCCTGATCACGGCGGCGGTACTCGCCACGGTCACCGCCACGGCCGCCACGGCCTCCGCCACGGCGCTCACGGTCGTCACCACCGAGCATGCCTCGGGGAGGAGCAGAGCGCTGCTGCTTGATGTGGGTCTGGGGAACAATCTCGGCGGGGAGGTGGAGCCATTCACGGAGGTAGTCGAGACCCTCGGGGGTGAGGGTGTAGTAGTAGTATTGCCATGAGAAGCGGGTCTTGAGGTAACCGCGGGAGGTCAAAGACTGGCCTGCTGACTGTTAGGAACCAACGTGGGGTTGCGGTGTAGCACATGTTACTGACAAGCTTTCTGTCTAGAGTTAGCAAATCAATTGATTTCAAAGTAGAAGAATAACACGTACGATGACGAAAAGGTTCTTGGTGTCAATCTCTCCGTGCTTGGGGAGGTTGAAGTCCTTCTTTGCGACCAGTACGCCCTCTGTGGTGACCGTGTGTCAGCCTATCCTTGTAGTGTGCAGCAAAGCCGCCAAAATGTATAATTGTGCCATAGCCATGGCTCGAATGCGCGGGGATACTAACCTCGGAAGAGGTACCTGTGAAATAATTGTCAGCCGTTTGATTCAATTGAATATACTGAAAGGCCAAGGGAAGCTCAGGAATCAAGTCGGAATATTTCATGCGAAACTCAGAGCTCGACTGCGCGAGTTCCCAGGACGGTTGCAGAGGTGGACTAACTCGTGGATCGCCTTGCGGTCGGCCTTGGGGATGAGCATCTTGACGGTTTGCGAAAAGACTCGGGGATGCTTGAACTGGTTGGTGAGGTCGATGAGTAGAAGTTCGCCGGACGTAGGCATTTCGACGGAAGGGTGCGCGACTAATCTAAGCGAGGCGCTATGACCACTTATGCCAAGTCGCACGTCTAGGTCTTTAGTACCGCCGCCTGCTTCAATACCAATCCAGCCTTCACACCACATACACACACGCAAACACTAGCATACAGCAATAACAACATCAACCTGCATCCGACTACTGGAACGAACGAAAAACACGGATATACCCCACTCCGACTCACAACTCCACTCACGATAAACCGTCATCATGGACGTCGCCACCGAGTCGCCTGTCACGGTCATCGTCAACAGCATCCGTGGTCAAAACATCGCCTTTGCTACCGAGAAGAGTGCGCCTCTCAGCTCCATCTACGAAACGCTCTATGAACGCGCACCATGGATTCAGAACTCATCCTACATCCTCACCACAAACTCGCGCCGCTCAGTCTGCCATGATGAAGCCCCCGTCTCATCACTGCTCTCTTCGCCAGCCGACACATTTCTGTCACTACGCCTGACTGTACCTCTGTGCGGTGGAAAGGGTGGTTTCGGATCCATCTTGCGCGCTCAGGGTGGCCGCATGTCGTCGCGCAAGAAGAAGCAGGGTGACGTGAACGGATCCTCTCGCAACCTTGACGGACGGCGTCTGCGGACAGTCACCGAGGCGAAGGCACTTGCCGAATATCTAGCTATCAAGCCTGAGATGGAGCGGAGAGAAAAGGAGGAGCGTCGAAAGAAATTAGAAGACATTGTCGCCAGCACCGAGCGCAAGCAGGAGGAGTTGCAACACAGCAGGGGCACAGCACGTCTAGATGGACAGTGGGTGGAGAACAAAGAGGAGGCCGAAAACAAGACCCGCGAGGCTATTGAGAAGATGCTGATGGCACAGAGAGAGAGCTCAGAAGAGGAAGAGGAAGTAGAGGCTCAGCCAGCCGCTTCGGCATCAAAGCCTGTTCAGCAGCGGACCATGTTTGGCTGGGACGATGAGGATGATGAGTTTATGAGCGATAGTGAAGACGACGACGATGTCTCTGAAGAGGATGCGAAGCCCGTTGTCGAGGGCAAAGGAAAAGGTAGGGCTGTCTGAATTCCTCCCAGTTTGACTGCATCATTCGACGTGATTCGATTTTTTATGCATAATACGGCGCTTGGGAATTGTGCTTTTTATTTTCTGTAGATACCCAATATTACATGATTCTCAGTTCATAGCTCCAAGTATCCTCTCTAGCTACCGCTCACGAACACTATACATAACTGCCGATGGCTCACTGAATTTGCTAAGTTTAGCTCTATATTACTTTGTTTGACGGACTTCGGCTTAGCTAGGCTATATTGGCTATGTATAGGACCAATCGTGCAGATGAGAATGACCATTCGCTCTACCGCGTATTGCTATCATCCAGATATCAAGTATGTGCACCAATAGTTGTCGAATTATTTCAACGCATGACCGTTATCCCGCCAGATGCTCGGTATTGGCCGACGGGCAACAAGTATCCCAGAAAGCGGCATGATACCGGACTACTGTTATCGGCTCTCCGACCCGCCCCTTCCCCACATCTAGGGCGCCTATCATGCCATCCCGTTCCTTTACACGCCGACTTCCATGAGCCGCGTCGTGATGTCTTCCTTTACTCCCATTACTCTTTCTCCCTTACTACACAATGGCTTCCCTGGCGAGCAGAGCCCCTGTTGCTCTTCGTAACGCGTGCAGACGCTACCCCGCTCTGAGCACACGACCAAGTGTAATAGCGAGAGTGGGGCAAGAACATGCGAGGAGCTTTACCAATTCGCCAAGATGGCAGATCAGGACGAAGGAAATGAATGATGACATGATGAAAGAACTCAAGGTCAACCAAGCAAGATTGATGGATGACATCCACCACAGTTGTCAATGGGGTATAGGTGAGCGGTGGGGAGAGTGAGTATTCAGGAACATCTGCGGCTTATTGCAGACTGACAATTGCAGCAAGCCGACAGAAACTGGAATGAATCGGCTCGCACTCTCCGATGCTGATAAGGCTGCACGTGACTGGTTTGTCCAGACGACGAAAGAGTTGGGTTGTGAAGTCACCATCGATAATATGGGCAACACATTCGCAGTCCGGCCGGGGCTGAGGAATGATAAACCACCGACGTTTGTCGGAAGCCATCTCGATACTCAACCAACCGGTGGACGGTATGACGGTATTCTTGGCGTCACTGCCGGCATCGAGATGTTGAGAGTGCTTGCCGAAAACTGGACTGAGACGGAGTATCCCGTTGGCGTAGTAAATTGGACTAATGAAGAAGGCGCTCGATTCCCAATGTCTATGGTTTCAAGTGGAGTGTGGGCAGGATCTATACCACTAGAGACTGCGCACAACCTTCGTGAAGTACATCCAGGCACGGCAACCATGAAGTCTGAACTCGAACGTATCGGTTACTTAGGAGACGTGCTAGCTAGTTACGAAGCCACGCCTATGGCAGCGCACTTTGAGCTACATATCGAACAGGGTCCGCTGCTGGAGATGGCAAACAAGAAGATTGGTGTGGTCACCTCGGTTCAGGCGTACAAATGGTTCACAATCAAAGTCAAGGGGCGAGATACGCACACTGGTACTACCGATCTCAAGTCACGGGCAGATGCTCTGTTGACGACGAGCAAAATGATACTACACTCTCACCGTCTGGCTACCGCGAACAACGCACTAGCATCAACAGGTATATTGAACCTGAAGCCCGGCTCTACGAACACAGTCCCGGGAGAAGTGACTTTTAGCCTGGATATCCGTGCTCCAAAGGATGAAGTAGTTGAAAAGATGAAAGAGATGATCCTTCGCGATTTTCCTAAGATTGCCGCAGGCGAAGATGTGGAAGGTTCCAATTACGGCTGTACATCTGGCCTACCGCTCACTGTGGAAATCGTGGAGGACTTTGACAGCCCAGCGACGAAATTCCACGCCGATTGCATTGCTTCCGTGCGCCAATCCGCGAGCAGTATTGTCGGGCCTCATCTCTCAATGGAAATGACATCTGGTGCTGGACATGATAGCGTGTATGCGAGTAAGCGTTGTCCGACGAGCATGATCTTCGTACCTTGCAGGGAAGGCGTGAGCCACAATCCCCGGGAATTTTGCAAGGAGGAAGACTGCGCTTTGGGTGCCCAAGTCTTATTACAAAGTGTCATCAGGTTCGATCGCATGAGAGACGAGCGAAGAGTATCTTGGAAACAAGAACCATACACTCTATAATCTCCGATGCGACTTTTTGTAAAGTAAGAGTGGTTCAACGAGTACGAGCACTAGACTGTTATATATCCATTGGTTGGTTAATTCCACTCTCAAAAGCATTAGAGATTCTTACTCACTCTCGACACATAATTCAATTGTATATTAGTATACAGTAAGCTCTACTTGTACTGAATACAGAGGGCCACTGTACGCCAAAGAGCTTGGCACCGACTCGACAGGGCGCTGCAACACACTACGGGTTCGTATGAGTCCTTCCAAGCTCTCACGAAGCCCCTTGTCAGTCAGATATGTAACCCACCCATCTTTTCATATAACTTCGGCCCTTTTGCTTACGCGAACATCGTCACGGTCGCTTTTTGTACTAGCGCCCTGGCGTCAAGTAGTCACCACGGGTTGCGGGTACCCCCGGAGCTCTCTCGAAACCTCGAGTGTTACCCGCGCAAGTCCTCCAAAAAAATGACAGTCTAGGTTTTTGCAATGAGTCAATTCTCACTCCATGAACGGAAAAGCGCACAGCTATCTAGGCCGTGCGCAGGGACTAGCCTCGACAGAAATGAGCTGATGAGCCTACCAGGAGTGCTTGGCAAGCTTTACAGAACCACATACAAGCCCTCGGTACTTGTGCTCTAAGGTTTCTAAGCCTCCCTTGAAACCAAGGGATATCGTGGCTGTGACAAAGACAGTTGACAACACTGGGAAAAAGCAAGGCTTCCGGTTTTGCACCCAACGGCTGTCTGCCTGATTTGCCGATAGCCCTCAGGCCGAATACAGTTTGTCCTCGGCGCCATCATGCAACAGTGTCACGAATACAGATAGCTTTATTGGTGGCGGCGGACTGGTCCAATGTGGGACAACCATGTGCCTGCATACAGCGAGGCTGAGGCGCCCGTTCAGCTCGAGTACAGGGGTAGCCGAAAGGCAGACACAACACCTGTATGCGCTGCGGCCCCTCGCCTCAAAATCATATACGATACCTGAGAACTAGGTGTCGCATCTTTCATCACCAGTCGTAATGTTTCCGAAATTTGGTGTCTTGTTTTTACTCTTAGCAGGACTGGCTCTTGCAAGAGATATTCCACAGGTACCAGTGCAGACACCCACATCGCCTACACTAGCACCAGCGAGCGCGATCACCCCCGCCCCACTTGCACACGAGGATGTTTTCAAAAGAGCGATCGGAACATGTGGTTTTATTCGTGGTGACTCAGGTATTTACAGTCCTCTATTATACCTGTGTCTGGCGGCCAGCAACTCACATCCAACACAGCGTCGCCTGTGACTTGCGGAGCAGGATACAACTGCGTCACAACCGTCAGAGCTCAATACGCATTCGCATGTTGCAACAATGTAGAATGCATAAACGATTGGAGCGTTTGTCGTCCGTTTGGTCAAACAGACTGCATGGGCAACAATCTTCCCGACGATACCTGCTCACGGATCTATGGATCTATACTCCAATGGTTAGTTTTACTTTCTAGCACCTCCTTTTGCGATCGCTAAAGACATCAACCAGTTCGGAAGCAGCGCCCTACTGCGTTACCTATGCGCGTAGTTCTACGCTCAGCGATTCAACCACCTTTGTTTCGTTAACGTGCGGGACAACCTCGGAAGACGTTCTTCTCCTCGCGACCGTAACGAATGGCGCAAAACAAACTGCATCTGGCAAACCCGCCGCCGAGGAAACCGAGAGTGCAGACCCCCTTGCCGGCTTCCCATCCATCCCGGGTTTGTCGTCCCCGACTGGAACGTCTACTCGCAACTCCCCTGCGCCTACCGGTTCCAGTTCAAACGAACCCGCACTGAGCACCAGGTCGATCGTTATAATCTCTGTGGTTGGCGCTGTGGTACTTCTATTGGCGCTGGGAGTCGGATGGTGTTGTTGGTGCAAGAGGATAAAGGCATGGTGGCGCAACAGACGACACCGCAATGCAGATATCATTGATCCGGCCAGGATACCGCAAGCGCCTTATCAGCCCACTAACTACCAGCCCACGAACTACCAGCCTTCCAACTATCAGCCAACTAATCCCAGGATACAGCAGTGGAGGAATGAAACACTGCTTGGCGCGAGTCCTGATGTGGAACCGTCCGTGAATGGAAGTGTTTATGGTGGAAGAAGCGTGAATGGGGCGGCGCCCAGGCCGATGATGACGGTACATGAACAATAAGGCCGGTCAATGCGTAATGAGACATGCTATGTAGAGAGATACCTTTTTGTCTATACTTTCAGATTCCTTGTAACGTATGTAGTGTATGAATGTCAAATTTTACCATAGATATTTTTCTTAGTAATTGTTCTCTTACTGCATAAGCTTCTCAAATATTGAAGTATACTATGAAAGGTTTTCTATAACTTTCTATAAGTACTACATCACTGACACGGGTTTTTACCGCATCTCAGCTCACCCCAAAAGGGTATCGTGAATCTGACACTCTCTTTGGCCACAACATCTGCTTTATATTGTAGCCACTTGCTAGCGCCTTAATACTAACAAGTAGACCATGCGCTATAATCCGCCTCCGCTTCAACTAGAACCATGGGATCATTAGGGCACAAATTTCAAATGGAAGGAGCATGTGGATTGTGCGGTGGAGGGAGAAAATTTTGGATATTGGAGGCTCAATTGTATTTTTCAAAGAAAAGGGTTGGATACATGACCGAGGTACTGACTTTGCTGGCGTGACTACTAAGGAAGGTACCCTAGTAATTTAGCTCACAGCCAAGAGTCTGGCAACATTTGGATCAACACAATTTGCTTCATCTAGAACACCTCGAAAACTACAACGAACTCAATGCCGTACAGAGGTCGCAGCGTGACCAACATATTGCTCGCCCCATCCCTCCATTGAACGGGGACAGGGTCCCTTCGCTCCATCACGAAGGCATCCTCGCCTCCTCGCCATATTCTCGCAGCAACTTATGAAAGGCAGCGCTCAGCAGCAGCGACGCCATGACCGCCCATGTGCCCAGACCTGTGATCACATCCTTTGTATCTTGTTTCAATGCCCAACCTACAGCCAACGCGCCGATGGTTCCGCATGCAACTATTCCGAGCTGATATCTGTCCTTTTTGTGGATGTGGTAGAACACGTTGATCGCGGCGCTGTAGACTAAGCAAGCGACTACAAGATGAACTGGACCGGGGTTGGGAATGATGTCTAGGAGACGCTGCGGTTGCTGTTCAAATGTTATCACAGTCCTGATGATCTCTTGGAGTATACTGACTGATTGTCCAGACTCGCTAGACATCTTCTCGTGGCCGAAGAGCGACCCTAACACAAAGCTAGGTAATATCCTTGAAGACCTCTGTTCGGTACTTGGTTGTTGTGCCATTACCGCACGTTGGTATTCATTCATGACCAAGCTGGCCACTGTCGCTGCACCAACCGCAAGACCTTTTGTCGCCCGACTCAAGGGTATGATCCTCCTTCCATCACAAAGATAGTATATGGCTCGGCTTTCATGCTGTTCCGATCTGGAGCTGAGTCAGTCTTCATTGCGAGCCAGGCTGTCGCAACAAAGGTCCTACATGTTCTTCATCTCGTCGATTCTGAAGATGAACGATGGAGCCATATGGCGCTTGTGTCGATTCAGGTATTTTGTCAGCATAAGAGTGGTAGTAGATATGATATCGCAGATGGTTGATGGAAGTGGGAGTCTAGCTGAGGGGTACGGCCACCGCCAAGCTACGTATATGCGTTGGCTGCACTGCCTCGACGTCTTTCCTTTGAGCTTACACTGTGTATGAAGTTGACTTCATCCCACATCAAGTTCGCGGTCAAATACACCCAATACACCGTCCAATCTGTGTGGTAGCAACAAATCTCTCTCCAAGGCCTCCTTGCCCAAGCAAAATCCGTCCGCAAGGCTCTCAAGTCAGGACCATTAGCTCGCCGCCATGCGTAAGTGAGGCACCTTTTGCCTTTGGCCTCAACACGAGCTAATAATGTTCCCTGTTTCTAGGTATATCAGGGCAACTCGCATCTGAACAGGGCGGTGATGGCAGTATGAACTACGATCCGGTCACTCCTCGTGCATCACCAGTGCCCAAAGCTCCCCCTTGCAACTCCAAGGTCGAGTTGAAGGCGGAAAATTCGTATCGCGAACATATTGAGCCTTCCGACACCGATCCTTATGCTTTCCTGAAGTCCTTCGACACTATCTTCATTGATGACAGCGGATCAATGTCGGGTCGCTCGTGGCAAGAGACCAGGAAGGCTCTGGAGAATATTACTCCAATCTGCACCCAAGACGACGGAGATGGCATCGACCTCTACTTCCTGAACCATACTGCCTCCACCAAGCCAATCAACACCATCGTCACTACCGATGGTGAACCAACCGATGATATGGAGGCTCACATCGTCGCGGCAACAAATAAGCCGGATGATTTAGAAGCGTCCGCATGGCAAGGGGGGACTCAGTTCCAGATTGGCAAGGAGGAGCATATGCGTGCAGCCATCAAGCAGCTATACGACAGAATTGTGAAGCTCTCTGGCGATGAGAAGATCGTCATGCCCTACCTCCCGAAAGCATCATCGGCGCGATACAGAGCATTCCCCAATACAGCCCCGAAAGGCTGTGACCGCTCCCGTACGATATCCCGCACCCAATTGCTCCGTATCAACCCCGCAGCACTCACTTTCCTCACTATATTTGCCCAGTTGTCGATCATTCAAGCCGCCCCTCAACATATATCAACAACATGGGGCATACCTATCTTCAATACACTCGGTGTAGGAACAGGCCTGGCGATCTCGGTCTTTGACGACGAGGCAAATACCCATCCCGTCTTGTACTGGATTGTATACGGTTTCTGGAGTGTATCAGCGTTACTGGTCGTCGCCTTCACTACCTTTTCCATCAAGAAGAGCTCTCGATTGCGCTATTTTTGCACCTTCGTCCTCGTAGAATTTATCCTCCTGACCATGATCGCAGTGTCATCGATTGGTGATCAGGGGTTCGTAACAAAGCATCTAAGGGAGTGGACGCCTTTAGCAACGGTCGCCATTGCTGGTGCTTTGACGGCAGGGTTCAAGAGGGTGGCCTGATTGTTATGTTGAACACAATACCAGACGACTGAATGGTCGCGTGGATGATTTTGATGTGTGCGCATGTATAGCGTTTTGTTTTTGTTTAAATCTTCGATACATCCTCATGTGAGGAATGAAAACTGGGCACGGGTTCACTTGCAATGGTATCAAACCAATCAACTTATCTAAAGCTTCGTTTTCATGGGCTCATTTGGCCGATCATGCTTCTAGAACCAGCTACTCTGCGCTACAGCTTTAGAGACATCCAAGCACACTACTATATGCTAACGGTTGCTAGAGTTTCTTTCCGTACTGGATAGACCTTTTTAGATAAAGGAGTTTTAGTGCAGAGTTCACGATATGACTAGTAAAATCATTAATAGCACAATAGCGCAACTCTCAAAACCTTAATTTAAAAATACCCCTGTATGTTGTGTGTCTTGCTACACAATCCCTAACTTAAGTGAGGTTTCTGTTGGACGTTTCTGCTAGCGTTTAATCTTCTAATGAACTACTACGTAAATTACGATTTCCCTCCTTGTCTTTTCGCAGCACATAAGAACTCATAGAAGATAGGCAAAAATCATGTTGAAGAAAGCTTATGAACATCTGCTTCACCCAACCTATCACAACTTTGCCAACCACATATCCCTCGTCGCCTTCAACCTCTTGGTCTGATCCGTCTTAAACGCTACAGTCCAATGCTCCCTCTTCTTAATCAAGCCCGGAAAGTCGCATTTAACCCGATCATCTCCACCCTTTGATAACCCAATCTCGTTTACGAAATTCCACTGGCGACAACAGAGTTGTCGGCACTGACATGCCACCCATTTGTCGAACCGCTTTAGCTTTTCGCGCTGATCCGCATCGACTTCTTTCTTCGATAGCTCGAGAATCGTCTCGATGTGTAACATGTAGAGTACGGCCATGACGAACGGCTTGCGGTGCGTTGACTCGCGTACGTTGCGCTTGTCGCGGAGGAGGCGCGACCAGGTTTCTGCGATGTGGCTGGGGGAGGGAGAGGGATTGGGGCCGAATTGGTTGAGGAATGATTCCACTACGATAATGTATCAGCTTGAATTAACGAAAAAAAGATGAAGGAAAGATTTGGGATTAAAGTTGGAGGGAAGGAGGAAGACGCACACGTCACTTTCCCATCCATGGGTCTACAATCTTGATATATGAGTTCATACACGCAGTACGAATCGAGTGTGAGATACTGCCAGTACGACTGCGCCTCCGGATTCATATACTTTGGTCCCTTGTACAGCGAGTAGAACCGTTTTGTCTCTTGAGACCTCAAACGTTGTGGTGGTACGGTAGGCGTTGGGGCAATATCTATCATGGCATCTCATGTCAGCAAATTTGGGCTATCTTAACTTGCAAGGGACTACTGCGGATGTTGACGGTTTTTTAAGAAAAAAATCGTCAACGACAGCCAGGGTCAACATACTCTGCTCATTTCCTGCGGCGGCCACCCAGCGTCTCACCATTTTCTTTGTTTCAGGATCGTTGCCGTAGGCTTCGGAGCGCGAGGCGATGATGTTTTTCTTGCTTGCTTCGTCGAGGAGGACTTCGGAGAGATCTGGGGGGTTGAGGCGGAAGTAGCCGTCTCGATCTGCGAGTTCCTGGTGCATTTCGTAGAATTTGTTTGCTGTTTTTTGGGTTTCCGAGGCGATTTGTATAATGCTTTTTGCTACTTCGCTGATGCTCTTGCCAAAGGTTTGGTGTGGTGGTTTTCCTGTGCCGATTGAAACAAGGATACGGATTTGGTCGTCGAATGGGATTTCAGGGTTGCCGAGTTGTTCTTTTGCCTCGAGATAGATTTCTTCGATGGGGTTGTTGTGGCCGAGACCTGCGTCAACGAAGCAACGCGGTTCGCCAGCGTGATTGATCTTCATCGGCGCGAAGAAAGATGTTGCTGCAGAAGTTGCCCGGGCGACTTCCCATATTCGGACCTCGTCATAGAAGTTGGAATGTTCGCCGTCCTTTTTATAGTCAGTGAAGCGTATAGGTACTGCACTTTCTGCTGTAAGAGCAATCACGACGCTGTTATCAAGTTAGCGAGTTACGTAGGTGTTGGCGGTTAGTCCATTCTTACGTCTTGCAGGCTGATCTCTTTGCTCCTCTAAAGCGATCATCTGATGTTCCTCCAGCATTCGTGATGACCTGCTTGATGGCCTGCTCCAACTCTTCGGTCTTGTATCGCGGCTGAACTTTGCCGTTGCGTACTTTAAAAGGCAGTGTTTTCTTGTATTTTGGATCGAAGACAACGTCCATTAGGCGAATATATGCTTCAATACACTGATCAACTGTCATTTCAAGCCGTCCTAGCATGATGGCAATTAAGCCTCCTGTACTTGTGCCGCAGATCATATCGAAGTAGTCGCATGGTTTTGGACTCCCAACAAAGGACAATAATTTTCTCAACATGTAAAGTGAAGCCAAACCACGTACGCCTCCTCCATCTAGACTGAGAAGTCGAAGGCCGCCAGGCATCTTTGCTGGGCAGTCGAGTGTGCCAGTAGTATTACGACGTAGCGGAGTATGTAACGGGAAATGACAAAGTGTTATAGAAACAAGGAATTAGCTTCACGGACAACACTGAGGAGTACTTCAAAGAGGCATCAAGAGCCTTGTACGGAGTGTCTACGAGGAGCATAAGTCATTGATCACTTGCCACCTTATCATAAAGCGCAGCCTTCAGCCTAGCCTAGGAGTCGAGACCCAGCTCACAAACCAATGGTGGAGAACAAGTTAGCTCTGGACGAGAATGGCGTGACTACTACCGAAGTGGATTGAAAATGGCTGCTAGTTAAACAGGGGCAGTGCTGTGGCTTTCTTGGCAGCTGAACAATCAAACATCGCACGTTGCAACGGATTCAGCCTTGCGAGAGGTAGTATGAAAAAAAAACAAGTTTCTTTCCCGCTACGATGACAAAAAAACTCGGCAGAGTAACACATGGTGTTTCCGAGGAGCTTGCTGCCTAATTTTCGAGTTCAGCCATCAGCCTTGCTCTAACGTTCTTCCCCAGCTCTTCCAATGTCTCGCACATTTCAATGCCGTACCTTTGGCAAACTATCTGTACATTTCCTCGCTTCCAGAAGCCTTTTGGACAGTAAACTACCGCTTTTCCAGTGTCGGCATAGAGTCCCAGTTCCAGCAATGTAATCGGCTGCAACACTTTGGGTTCGCCTGCAAAGTAAAAAACGATGATATCCGCTTTGCGCGCATGATCCATCTCCCACTCGACCTGCTCCTTGAAGGGTTGAAAAGAGATATCCTCAACCCAGGTGCTGTCCCAGGCATCGCAACGCGGGTTTAGGATAGCGACAGGAAGGTCGGATAGTGAAGCTGTGAGATACCCTTGCCAGTCTTTGGCTGGGTCAGATTGAATGGCGCCGTAGAGGATGACAGATGGTCTATCTACATCTTTCCTTAGAGGGGGTTTGTGCACAATGGCTTTTGTTGGAGTAGGTTGTGACATAGTTTGGAGATGTAGATGGACTTAGGGAGCGGCGCGGACGCGGGCCTTACCGTGCTACTACCCCGCCATGTGATTTTACCCCTAAAGTGTTCGTGCAAGCACGGGCCTCATACTGGTGAAAATGAAGCTGTACTGAGGCTCTAGCTTCTACAAAATTCTTCCACAAAACAATTATTTCGCAGTAATGGCCTTTGAATCCATTCTCCGACATAAATCAAGTTCATGGATGGTGGGTGGGGTTGAGCGAGTTCAATACCTCCTGTCCAGTGCGTCCAGACCAGGCGGAATGTAGTTCGTGATGTCACATGCAATTCGTGCTTACATACGGCCAGCGACTTATTCACTATCAGATATCTCAGTCCTTTGATTCGTTTTACTAATTTGACTTACCAGGCATTCCTTGAAAATGCTTCTCCAACAACGACAAGACGCGGGAGGATTCCATATTCGTTATGATTTTCCCACTGACACCTGCATTAGTTCGTATCAAACCGCCCCGACAATGAACCGGGCCATTCTCTCCCATAGCCGAATGACGATCTAGCTGGGCTTCTGATCTTTACCTAGAGGATAGTATCGGCCACCTGCCAGATACCACATCAGTCCACGTAGCGAGCCTGAACTACATCAGAAAAGTGTTAGTTGATCGACGATTGATCGACATTGCGCGAGCGCTGCTGTCAATTTCGCTTCGTATGCTGCACGTAAAACCAAACAAAGTAAAGCATCTTCATGAAAGAATGGAAATGACTCGAACAAACCGCGTGAGGTTTCCAAATCATTTTGACAAATGATATTTTCTTCACCCATCGCTACGTATCTAACCCCTCTACTTTCCAGGACAATGGACATGCCATCAGCGCGACCAGGTTATGCGATCATTGTGTCATCATCTCTGCCGCGTTTAAGATTCAAAGAAGCGGGGGAAAATCCGATCTTATCCAAACCTATAAATTCTATCACTTCATCGGGGCTGTACAGCCGCTCATGTCAGCAAGAACCCAACGTCGATTACCTGCCGACATTCTTGGCAGATAGGACAAAGTTCGTACGAGTCTACAAGCTGGGCAGTTTTTTGCCCTATTGCAGAAGTACCGGACGACGATCTTCCTTCAACAGGAAGAAAAAAGAAAAAAAGAAAGTCGAGGCGAAAGCCGTCGCTCAAGACAAGTTTCAGCCCTGAATACGATGATCTTCTTTTACGAACGTAGTGAGAAGCTTGGGCGAGTATCAGTGCGCAAGAACGAGTGACATGCCCGAACCCCTGGTCCTCCCGAGTGAGCCGGGGCTACAATTGTGCCATCGCGCTACGAAGCAGATCACATCTCGCACCTCGGTCAATCACCGGCGTGTCGCTACGAGCCCGATGGAATTGCCGAGAAGTCAGCATTGCTATGGCCTCTTTGGGTGCAATGCTCGAGATCACGGCATTCGTCCACTGATGAGAGAGAGCCAGTCTTTACGCAGTACGTGTGAATATTGGAAAAAAGCATCGTAGCTGTGGTATCATTCTTTTTTGTGATCGTGAAAGCATCATAACGCGAGCGTAACTGAGTAGCAAATTGGTGTTGTACAAATCGTAATACGAACTCCGTGCAAAATCCCAAACTCAAACTTCTGACACTCGGCCGCGACCACCTGTCCAAGCCTTGTTGTCACGAGGATTGGGTGGATTGGGGACGGGGAGGCCTTCGTAAGTGACTTCAACAGTCCGCTCGTACAATATGGCTTCTTCGCTGTCGCTGTCCTTGCATGGGCGTGACCCGACTTGTACCTTGGATTCTCGCGTTTGCGTGGACTCTTTGGCCGTGACACCAGAAAGGGGGATCTCGTCATCGTGTTTGTCGCCGCCGCCATCAACGGTGTTCATAAGGGTATCGTACTGGCGCTTCGGACCGCTCCTGGAGCTCTTCCATGAGTGTAACGCGCGGTTTTGGCCGGATGAACCTTTTCCTGAAGATCCGCGAGAGCTCTCGCCGATCAGGTGCGGTGCAACGTGTCTGAAGAATCGTCGCAGGGTGGGCAGGGAACAGCAGATGATGAAGAGGTTCGCCTCGACGATGCTGGAGATAGTGTCAGACAACGGAATGGACAGGATAGTCTCGTCTGATAGGAACAGTGTACTTACATCCACACACAGCCCACGGCAATTATCCATGTTTGATCAGGATCCGTCAATGCTGGTATCAGGACAACCAAGCGGATGATTGAAGTGACCATAGTTCTTTGTCATGTCAGCTCGTTCTTGTACGTTCATTACTCTAACAATGTACTCACATTGATCCAATACCGAAGATGATGGTCAGGCCAATCTTCTGCTTCCTGGGCATTTGTAGGCGCCAGATGGTTGGGATTGGGATGGCGATTAGTATCACGTCAGTGACGATACCAATGACAGCGGTTGCGATATAGATTCCTCCTCGGTTGGTGCAGACTGCTATCGGAAGCAACAGTGGATCCCAGCTAGCCGCTATCGGTTTGCATGCAAATATCAGACTGAAGAAGATAGCTGTATATGCGCCAGCGCATATGAATACGGTTGACCAGACCGCGATCTGGTAGCCTCGAACTGGCGATAAACGACTGTAGAAAATGCACAATGTGATTTTGGTCAGGGCACAGCAAGGGGCGTAAACCAGGGGGGCGGCAAGAATCAGCTATGGTTTGACAATGTCAGCAAAGTTCAAATGTATGCTGACAGAACTAGGCAGTTCTCACTTACTCTTGAGTAATAGCCGTACTGATCGATCGAAATTTCCCAAGCATGTACGCCAATAACTCCCGAAGCGAAGCCTTGAATCAACAAGGCTTGTGTTGCGACTGAAAACATCCACGCGAGAATGACAAACACTGCTTATAGTTAGTATCTTCCCAAGGTCAAAGTGTGTCTGGATAGGTACCATCATCAATCTGGAACTGTTTCATCAGACGAATCTTTGTGAAAAGTCGTTGGGCGAGGAAAATGAATGCTAAAATGTTCTCAACGATGAAGAGTGCATATGCCTCCGTAGTCAACCTCCTTTGAGGGTTGTCAAAGTCGACCACATATCCCTCGGGAGGAGGGAGTATCGTCATGACTCCATTTACATTTGCCATGATGTAGCAAAGACTGAGAAATGGGTAGTTTGATGAAGACAAAGTTGTGAGCCCTTGAGGTGGAGAGCCACTCGTTTATCATATGGGGGGATATGGGGGATGAGCGTGAACCAGTGGTCCTCTCAACTCAATCTCTATATGGAAGTAGCTTTGCCCATCCTTTTGGAGTGACTACTCGGAGGCTCGCGAGGGAAATTTGCACGGATTCCCGAGACACGCGCGGAATAGGGTAGTGGAACGTTGCATAATCCGTTGCAATCGCACCGAATACCTTGACATCGGCCAATCGTATTGACGAGGGCCGCTACGAAACCACGCGAACTGCGAGAAATGCATGGCATTCTGACTGCTTTGACCATCAGTCTAATAATCTTGTCATCTTTACTATGGAGACGGAGACCCGCAAAATGGGTCAAGAACTGTTGTGAGACAGAATCTCACCCGGAGCCCTGACATGGTCGCCGTCAGTGATGGAGTAGGAGAGGTCAAGCAGTGGAACACCTAATGAGCAAATTCAATGCGCGCGATCTCCATAAATCCATTGCAACCCAAGGATCACGGGACATTTTCATGTGTAGCCTCCCCGACCCTGGTCTTAGTTCCCTCCCTCGCCTATACATAAGGTTGACATTCGGGGACTAGGGGCTTGGGGTAACATGCGTTCGTCCGGCCAATACGTGCGGTAGAGACAGCCTACGTACCTTGGCGGGTCATGCCGGAGCTAGCCAGTCCCATCCAAACGGACCGTCATTCGGTCCATCTTGTGGGGGCGGAGCGGGTCTCGATAGCAGCTAGCTTGACCCTCCACCCTCATCACTGACAATCATTGTCATTTTCATCAGAGGCCAATATTCTCCAGACCAACTTGCGGCTCTAGTTCGCTCAGGGGTGGCGCCAGAGCTGCCTCCCACCAGCCGCTGCAGGAAAAAAATCATCAGCCACTATACCTGGCGTAGTAGAGCAACATGAGTAGTTTATGTGTAGGGATGCTGGATGTACAGTTCCTGCAATGGCCTGCCGTCGCTTGCCGTCATCCGCGCTGTAGGGTGCTCATCTTCCAGTAGTCATTAATACGTCTGCATCGTCCTAACCCAGCGTTACGGTTCGACATCCTCGTCTTTCAACGCGCCAAGTCCCCTCCGTTGTTACACCATGAAGACCGTTACTTCGACGTTGGTTGCCCTCATGGGCCTGTATGAGGAGGTTGGAGCTGCTGCTGCACGTCCCTTGGGGCTAAGGAAAGATGTTTCAGTGGCCATGAGCACCGATCCTTCGACTTGCGTGAGTTCAATCACCTTTCTAACTACCTTGCCATCACCATGGGTCAAAGTCACAGTACCACTAACGCTATTCAACAGTGTGCAGCCCTGAAGAGTGCTAACCTGACTCACATTTACATGCAAGATGATCAACAGTACAAGGACCGGACGAATTCCTACTGGTCTGTCAGTGCTCAGCTGCAGCCAAAGTGCATCGTCCAGCCTGTCTCTACCGCAGAGGTGGCTACCGCCATCAAGGTTCTGGGTACTGACCCAGGATGCACATTTGCTACTCGAAGTGGTGGTCACACCACGTGGGCCGGCTCCAACAATATCAACAACGGAGTAACGATTGACCTTGGTCTCATGAACCAGACCACCTACGACGAGGCCAGCAGCCTTGCAAAGATCCAGCCTGGTATCAGGTGGGGAGGCGTCTATGCAGCTCTTGAACCTTATGGAGTCACTGTTGCTGGTGGTCGTGCCAGCACTGTCGGTGTTGCTGGATTCCTGACTGGAGGAGGCAACACTTTCTTCACTGCTCAGCGCGGTTGGGGCTGTGACCAAGTCAAGAACTTTGAAATCGTTCTTTCTAGCGGGTCAGTACACTTAGCCTCTACATTTCATATTTGTGTTAACCCGACGTAGTGAGATTGTGGATGCAAATGCCACGTGCAACTCCGACCTATTCCTTGCTCTCAAGGGTGGATCTTCCAACTTTGGTATTGTCACTCGCTTCGACATGGAGACCTTCAAGCAGGGCAACCTCTGGGGTGGTACCATGTCGTATTCGAAGAACTATACTCAGGCGCAAATTGATGCTTACACCGCCTGGGTTGACAATGTCGAGAACTACCCTGAGGGCTCCAGCATCATCTTCTGGAGCTACCTCCCCACTGTTCAAGATGTTGTTATTCTTGCTGCGTATGAAGATACGGCCGGCAATGTGGCACCCGCAGGATTCGACAAGTTTTTGGCTATCCCATCCCAGTCCTCCACTATGAGGCTGGCTAGCCACAAGAGCCTCACTGACGAGCTCGAGCAAGCCGCTGGGTATCGGTATGTTGAGAAACTAACTAACAAAGGGAGTCTATACTGACTACTTCAAGTGATATCTGGTTCACTATGAACTTCAAGAACAATCCCACGATCTTCAAGCACATTGTCGATGGTCACCAGAAGTTCGTCAACGAGTGGAAGTCGACTACTTCTGACCCGGACTTCATCACGCAGTGCATGTTCCAGGCCATTCCTACTGTCTTTGCTAAGCACAGCGCTGAGCGAGGTGGTAACGTTCTCGGTGTTGAGCACATTGGCGCAAACTCCATCATGCTCTTGTTCAATATTGCCGTCAAGGGTGCTGAAACCGAGGTTGCTGCTCGTACACTGCTGAGGAAGTATACCGAAGAATTCCAGGCGTTTGCCGCTAGTCAGGGAGGCGCGGTTGACTGGCAATACCTTAACTACGCCGATTCTTACCAGGTAACTACATAGAATCCCCTTTTCCGATATAATGACAAGAAACATTCAACTAACATCCATGAACAGAACCCACTTGCTGGCTTCGGCGCTGATAACGTTGCCAAGATCCGTGCGGCGGCGAAGAAGTACGATCCAATCGGCATGTTCCAAACCCAGTCTCCTGGAGGCTTCAAGATTTCCAAGGTTAACGGAACACCTCGTCGCGAGCTGTAAGCGGCGATAGGCTCAATATGGATTGAAGTCTGCCATCGCTGTCCATAATATAAAACAAATATACTACCAGCTACATGATTTTCTTGGAGAAAAACTCCAATACTACCCACACTAAAAAAATCTCCGCCCCAACAGCCGCATGAATCGGAAGCTGCACTAAAAGCCACTATAGACGCAGGGTTTGTATATTCAAGTAGGGATCGCCATGTCTAAAGAATCGCACTTGCATAACTGAAAAATGCCCTAGGGCCTGTTCGGTTGCGCGGTTGCGGTTTGCGGGTTTCGTTTTTATTACTGGATTTGGGCTAGATCTTGAAAACAATCCCGTGTTCGGTTAAGCGTAGCTCAAATTCAGTAATAAAAACGAAAACCGCAAACCGCAACCGCGCAACCGAACAGGCCCCTACAACGATAACCCCACATATCTTTGTCCATCTCCCCTGCAGTTAACGAAAGCAGCATCTTACGCGTCCGCCAACCCACACTAGTCCAAGAGAAGCATTCATACCCGCTCCCCGTCCCTCAGGAACAGAGAAGAAAATAAAAGAAGAATCTCACCCGTTCTACAACGTCATCCCTCAAGAAATCGCGATTCTATTCCAAAGAAAAAAGGATATCCAACCAAACGCAAATACCCGCCACCCCTCGCCCAAGTTTCCCCGCTTCTACACATAGCTAACTACTTACCCTTCATCCCCCGCCTCCCCTTGCACCATCTCGCCTCGAATTCCCCCGCTCTACCAGAGTAAATCTCGGCCACTTACTTGCTCATCCGTCGCGAATGTCCATCTCCGCTTTTACATCGGTAGTTTGATACCGAACTAGTTTCCGCGCCGTTATGCGCTCAGAGTCTTTCCGCCAAAGATTCATCCATGCAAAGCGCTACTAAACGACTGGACCTTTCTGGCTCTCCTGAACTAACAGAACACGCGATGATTTTTTGAAATGATGGTTTGAGCGGAGTGTAGAAGGTGAGGCGCAGCGAGATTGAAATATATTAGTACCTCGTCGAGTCCGCACACTATCTGCGTCATTGTTCTGCGTTGTCGTGGATAGCGGGATCTGCTGGATGCTTAGCTGCAGTGCAGAATGCGCGTAATGAAATGGACAGGATACCTGGTATAAGATGAGAGTTTATAGTATGGCGCATATAACCGAGCGATTACATTTCGGAAGAGAGGGGGCGCGGGATGAGGGGGTGTGTGTTCGCGCGGGGAAGAGACGGGTTTGAGGGGGTTATGAGGGAGGTAAGTAGGAGGAAGGGTATGTCTCTTGGTGGACGGAAGATGTTACCGGGGTAAGAAAAGCCTATATTAGAATGAAGCTACCATTTGTGAATAGGCACCTCTACAAGGCAGTTGAAGATTCCATTCGTATATGAAGGGACTATGAGAAAAACATGTATCGTTCAAGAGTGCTGGTATACAGTTCCACCTCATTGACACTGCGCTGTTTTGGTCGTTGTACATTTTCTTTTTTAATCCGAGTATTCCGGTCCACCAACAAGTCAAGGGTACCGTGTTATGAGTAAGAAACTCTATAATGTTTATTTTGCGCAGTAAGCATACTGCAACGTACTATTGTCAGCCACATACGACAGAAATATATAAGGGGGATGGGGTACCTGCCGAAGTAACAAGCGGTAGATTAGTCAAATCAGTATGATGAAAGGCGTCTGCGCGTGATGATAAGGATTTGAAAGGTATTCTCACACTTTCTTCTACTAAAGTTTAAATTGATAAGTCTTTGTGGGGTTGGAGAAAGTTGGTATAGGATCTTAAAGATACCTTTTATATGTTCTTGAAATGTTTTGTGAATACATAGACGAAGATTGAAGAAATAAGAGTAATAGCTTGGTCAATATTTCATTGATGCTTGAGCCTGTTCTATGTCATTAAGATATAGTAGAAGCAACGGGTCAAAGAGGGATCAGGGATTACAGGTTGTAAAGTTTACAGCGAGTATCGCCGACGTAGCACACGCCTGGAATCCGTGATCAAAATATTACCGGAAGATCCGATTCTACCAATGCCACCTCCAGTCTCTCTGTGGCGTTCAGGCTTACGCGGTCTTCTGGGGGAATTGGGGGTTAAGACAAAGCATGGTGAGTTTGAGTGTTGCGGAAACCATTGTTCAGATACATTTACAACGTCTGAAATTCGAAGATTCAACTTTGCTACAGAAGGCTCTGAATCGCGAGCGCTAGTGAGATATTTTGCATAATTTCATGTATCAAGTTCTCGGTCCAACACACTGGATACAATTGCAACCATCTCCTTTCAACATTGAATCTTTTCAAGCATTACAAACGATTAAAAACCATACTTTCTAAGCAAACATCGACATCGTCTAGTCTTCATGAACATAACGAACATCCCCTTCCCCTAAAACACGCCATTCACCTCGGCGAGCGATAATTATGGAATTCAATCTGATATCATTGTATTTACTGTACAAAAGAAATGGCCATTAAGAATGCCGTCCTTCTTCTTGTCCACTTCTATCCTGTTCCTCGCCACCCTCCTCTTTCCACTTACCGCGTAGCCACTTCAATTTGAACCAGTCGCTCAATGCATCTTGGCTTCTATTTTCCGAGCTATATGCCCAACTCCTCCTTGCTCGGGAGGCATCAGGTAGGTCTGCATCTGACAAATCGCCATCTTCTGGGTCGGGATGATAGAGTAATGGCGAAGACGAAGCAGGGTCGGCGGGTCTCTTTCCTTGGGATACGCTTCTGGTCTGCCGGGTAAGGCCTTCAAACCAAGATCTTCGGCGCATCTGGTTGAGCCAAGCAGATTGCGCCTTATTTCGTCGTGGCGGCAACGTGCCTGACCTTGGCCTATGATCAAGATCCACGGATCGGATTGCAGGTGAGGGTAAAGTTTCGCGGTCATTGAGCTCATCCCATATTTCGTGTGTTTCCTCGGAAATAGTCAAGCGTCGTCTTCGTGAAGGCTTGTGAGGACGGGTGTTGGCCTGGGCTGCGTGTAGGGCTGCAGTATCTAGTGACAATCGCTTTTTGGGATTGGATAGGGGCCGAGCAGGACCAGCCGGTGCCCGGGCTAGCAGTGGTGTTGTTTCGTCGACAGATTTACGTTTGGTGTGCGCAGAGAAGTAGCCACGGTCTCCTCCAGCTTCCTCGTCAGTGAGCATTGGTGATGCCGGGTCGTCGAGGATATGAGTATGCGATATGCCGATACCAGGTTGAAGCACCGTCTTGGGCATGGGAATCCTACCCACCTTGACCGCTATTGGCGACCTTGGTTCTTCCTCATTGTCCTCGAGACGCCAGCTCAGGCAGACAACACCTGCAAGAAGGACCACGGTACCGAGTGCGATGAGCCCAGCGTGAAGACCGGACAGTCGGTCGCTTTGGTCAAAGTATATCAATCCATCTATAATGGCAATAATGTTATAGACACAAAAGACCAAAGGATAGAGGACACTAGTGCTACACAACTTGAGTCCACAGTGCATGTAATAGAGCTGCGTCAGGGCGAATGCGACTAATCCAATCAGGATCATCCAAGACTGCCAACGATTAAACTCATTGTGGCGATCCACGATTGTGCGGACCAACAGTTCAACGGCGCTCTTGGCTACAAGTAACGAATGCGCAGAGAGGATGCCACTGACGCATCCAAAGGCCATTCCTCGTATCAGGCGTAGTCTGGGAGTGGTGCGGGGATAAATGCGCTTGAGGACCCAGGTGGCGGTAACCAAGATCACCACAGCAACGCCCGTCATGCTCATCCAAATGAGAAAGTTGGTTCGTCCCAGTAAAACCAATAACTGGTCCAGGTTATGCGACGGCTCGGCAATGGCGCCAAAGAGGGCTATGAGCAATGCGCCGACGGCGACGAGCAGTGTGCCGGCGAGCGAGTAGCGCGTAAAGGGCTCGCTCAGGATAATGGAGGCGCATATCGAGTTGAAAACGAGGCCAGAAGCCTGGAGAGTGGAGAGGACGGGGAGGGGGAGGGTGGTGATTTGGATGGTGCTGCCGACAATATTTGCCACGAGGAACATGAGCATGCCCAGCTATCTGGGGTTAGCAAAGTGGTTGTATGTGCGGGGGAGAGTATGCGTGCCTGCCATCTCCGTCGCCTGTAGGGTGGCCGTCTTTCGTCATCGTCGTCCTTTTCTTCCTCGAGGAGATGCGACTTGCGCTGGAGTGTAAGGCCGACACTCTGGATGCTGGTCGAGGCGAGGCCGACGATTACTCCCAGCTATGGAGGGGTTAGTCAGCAGATCTAAATTTCTGGCGCAAGACTCACAGCAACGCTCGCGCCCGGCGACATTCCGACCATGACTGTGTCTGTTGGCTGCTGTCGGTGACTGCACCTGTGTTACCTGGGGGTGTGGCGCATGCTGTGCGAGCGGAGGACGAGGAATGGGGGACGGAGAACAACAAGAGAGTGGGAGAGCGCAGCGGGCGGTGGCAGCGTAGACGTGGACGTGTTCGCGAAACGTGACGCTGTCGAGTCGGTGAAGTTGGGGGGTGGAGGGCTAGCTGGTGGGTGTGGCAGGGGTCAGCCGACTGATGATGTATGTAGAGAAGCGGGTTAGGAAGCTGGCGCGACGAGGAGTGTGTGTGCACCGAACGACAGCTGGGCAAAGAAACAAACGCAGAAAGTGACAAATAAGAAATGCTTACTGGCGCGACATGGGACCGGTTCGAACGCGCGATGGCGTCGCAGTCAGTGGGAGACGCGCTGTGGCTGCGCGTGTGGCGGCCGTGGCTAGTGGTGTGGCTAGTGTAGCCAGTGTGGCTAGTGGGGGCGGGCAGCATCTGGGGCTGCTATCGCCAATTGGTGGGCCCAGCGCATGCACCTCGAGCAGCTTGTCCAAGCTCCGTCACTGCCCATACCGCCCGACGACTCCAACTCCATCGCCAGATCCCACGCCCACATACCCCTCCACCACCACCGACGAACCCCCACCGCCGTCGCCATCATGTCGCAAGTCCATGCCCTCTCCGACGACCAGGTATGATACCCGCCGCAGCTCCAGGCAGCTCCAGAGCTCCCCACCTACGTCAACACCACTCCATGCTAACAAGCCTCCCATGGCAGGTCGCCGGCGAGCTCAAGAAGATGACGGCCTTCATCCGTCAGGAGGCCATGGAAAAGGCAAACGAGATCCGTCTCAAGGCCGACGAGGAGTTCGCCATTGAAAAGTCCAAGCTGGTGCGCCAGGAGCAGGCCTCCATCGACGCTTCGTACGAGAAGAAGTTCAAGCAGGCCAGCATGTCACAGCAAATCACCCGCTCCACCGTCTCCAACAAGAGCCGATTACGCATTCTGTCCGCTCGCCAGGAGCTGCTCAACCGCCTATTCGAGGACGCCGAAAAGAAGCTGGCCGATATTTCCAAGGACAAGAACAAGTACCAGTCTATCCTGAAGAACCTCATTCTCGAGGGCGCGTATGCTCTGAACGAGGACAAGCTGCAGGTCAAGGTGCGCAAGGCAGATATTGATCTGACCAAGAAGGCCATCGAAGAGGCTCAGACCGAGTTCAAGAAGAATCTGAGCAAGGACGTTGCCATTACCATTGACGAGAGCGACCCACTGCCCGAGGGATCGTAAGTTGCCATGTCCGATTCATCCGGGTCTATGACTAATTTTGTCCAAACAGCGCTGGCGGTGCCATTATTGTCGGCACAAACGGCAAGATCGACATCAACAACACCTTCCAAGAACGACTCAAGCTGCTCGAATCCCAGGCATTGCCATCCATCAGGGTCACGCTCTTTGGCGAGAACGAGAACAGAAAGTTCCACGACTAAGTTCCTTTTTGCACGGCGACCCGGGGGATTTTAATCATCATGACCATGGCATTTCCTCACCCATATAATGTCGGAATACAGGGAACATGTGCGTTTGTACCATGCACTTGGCACACAGGTGACTTTTTTGCCGAGTAAACTCTACACATGTGGAGAAAGAGAGGAAGAGGTGTTCTGTACATTACTCCAAGCAAGATATAGCGAGTCAACTTTGCACATTTACCGCACATGCGGTAGTTCGGAGCATCATCTCTGGACATTGCTTACTATTCATTTGATTATTGTTACAAGCAATTGACTAAATCGTTACAATCGTATACATGCAGAAAAGAAAAGGGGTATATGTACGTCCATCATCATGTCGTATAAGTCCTCGTCGCCGCCCAAAAATATCGTACCAAAACCTCAGACGCGAAGATGCCCGGTGGTATCAATTCCTCAACGGCCAATCTATCATATCACTATTCCATCCCCTCTCCGCTCTCTCCCCTTGTTTCAATCCCACATTCTCATCTTCATCCTGCTTTTGCTCATAGTATCCGCCATATCCCCCACCCTTATAATAATACTCCGGCCCATAATCTTCCAAATACGCGTCCAACGACATTGAAGAAAAACTCGACACCGCGAGACCAGACGAACTGCTTCCCGTCCCACTATACTGCCCTGCCGCGTTCGGAACCGCCAATGTAGGGCGATGAACCGATGTATCGCTCGCATCGTTCACTGGTACATCCTCCATTGCACTGGGTGTGGGAACCGGTTTCCGTAGTATACTATTCCTCCTCCCCACCTCTCTATTCCCACCACCAAAACTCCGTTTCCGATGCGCATACCGCCCCAACACGGGCGACTCCACCTCAGCCCCTCCAACGCCCTCCCCAGGCTCCCTCATTTCAGCCACAGAATGCAAACTCGACCCGCTAATTCTTCTCCCTCTTGCCCGATTCGAAGAGTGACTGTGACATAGTGCTGGCGCTACCATGGGCGTATGTGTATCTTCTCTCCCAACCATTGCGGGAGTTTCAGGGTAGTTGTCGTACATGTCTGACGGGTCCTCCCAGGGGTAGTCTTCGGTGCCCCGCGTGTAGTGATAGGTTAGTGGTAAGGTGGCGCTGTCCGAGGGGCCTTGTTGGAAGGAGAAGCGCGGGATGAAGCCGGGGGAGGAGGGGGGTTGGCTTCCTTCGAGGGTTCTTTTACGGTGGCGCCGGAGGAGGAAGAAAGAGAGGAGGAGGACGGAGAGGGAGAGGAAGCCTAGTGGGAGGGCGAGGCCGAGGGCGAGTTTTTGGCTGGAGGTGAGGCCGGAGGGAGTGGGCGGTGGAGCGGGGGGTTCGGAGGGGGTGCTGGTTGGGGTTGCGGTGGAGGGAGATGAAGTTGAGGTTGTGGGTGTTGATGAGGAGGAGAAGGTTGAGCTAGAGATAGGTAAAGTCGAAGTCGATGAGGATGACCGCTCTGACGAAGATGAAGATGGTCGAATCGTAGGCTGGCTCGACACTGCAGTTGTACTCGTCCCACTTTCGCTCTCCAACCTGGACGATGTAGACGCCGTCGCAGTCGTACTCGTCACCCACCCCTCCGTCTCTGTAACCACACTCTGCCACGTCCTCGTCACAGAAGCCGGCACACTAGTCGGCACACTCCCACTCTCGGGTGGCGCCGCTGTCTTAGGGCCAAACGCTTCAATAAGATAACTCTGCACCTCGGCCGGCAACTCTCGAAACCACTGCGGTCGATTATTGTCCAGGAATTCAGTCCAGAGTATACTCGATACAGCGGGCACATTTGTGGCAGCGACTTGGCGTAGTGATTGGGGGAGGGCGGTGATAAGGATCTTGACGAAGTCGATACTACTCATTCTGTTAGCAAACCATTTCCATTAAGATATGGAAATATTAATGTGTGTATGTGGGAGATGAATAGGGAGTGTTCTTACGCATCAATATCCTGTCTTTCCTGTAACCGTGGTGGAGCCGTGATACTAGGCGGCGCTGGCACCACGGCTCCATCTACGACTCCGTTTCCCACAATAACAAGAAGAGTAAAGAACCATCTTCGTAGCGAGTGCATGTATGAGATGTAGCGAGTGTCGTATCGCAGACGAAAAGGAAAAAGAGAAAAGAGAGAAAAAAAAGATTCCAACTACGCAGTCTTCATACCCAATATTTTGTCCACTTCAGCCTTTTGGTAAAGAATATACGCTTCAAATCAATCAAGTCGAGCGAAAAAAAGATCAGAAAGCAATATTTGCGTACTCCCAACAACTATTTCAAAACCCTCTCCCCCCAAGCCCCATCTCTCCTCATACCCATCTTTCTTTTTTTAGACGTACAAGCCCCCAGGCACACACTGATGCGATTCGTCCCAACACCCCAAGACTGTGGCGAAGATGCCTTCATACTCACGTAAACCTGCCCAACACAGCCCCCCCACAAGCTTGATCGCCCCCGCCACAACGCCACTCGTCCCGCCCATTCCTCTCCACACACACTTAAGAGATACTCTACCTGCAGATTTCGGCAGCAAAGTCCTGGTCTTAATTATCCGACGGACATGTAACTGGCTCTTTCCATCTATATACCGAAATATCCCTGGTATTATATTTACGTGGTGGGACGAGAGGTAGTCATAGTGGGGCGGGGGTGGCGATGGGGCGGAGCTAGGCTTGATTGAGTAATTGCATTGGGGAGGACATAGCCACCTTAGCTGGCTATTAACGCTTCGCACTAGTAGTATGTAGCTGCCTAGGCTAAGATTGAGGTATTAGTGATGTGCTTAATGAGATAAGATCGAGGTCGATTCCTGAGTATGAGTGATGTTGGGATTAACAACGTGCTTTGGTAAGAATGTGTACTTTACTTGGTATAAGGGAAACTTGTAAGGAAGTTAAGAGCGTTGCCTACGATGAAAGTTGTACATGGACGTGGTGGTAGGTCTTTGCCGCGCCTTCGTATGTTGCGCAACTTCAAGACCAAATCTATTAGAGATGATGATACAACGGCTCCAAGTGAGATAACAGGTAAACTTATTTCGTTTAACTTAACGCGCACTAACGATGGTATCATCTATTGTTTACTTAGAACAGAATATCCGTGATACCCTCCCTTTTAAGTTTTCTCGCTGCACGGATTCGTTCCTGCTCTTCCTTACTCCACAACTTCGACTGGTACTTCCGACTCCTTCCCCTCCTCTTTTCTCTTTCTTCCATCGCCCTCACCTCTGGGTCCACCCAATGCGGAATCGGGCATTTTGAAACTTGCTGTAAGATAGCGAGCGTGTCATAATCCCCTTCCCGCTCCCACCATCGGTCAGTATATCCTTTGGCAGCCAGAAGAAGCAAAGCTTTCAGCGTGAAATTTGCGTCGTTCCCGGCACAGTGGAGCCGATTAAAGGAACAGCCTAGTAAAACCAGTAACTCGCTGAGAGAACCGGCCCAGAACTCAAAGACCTCGTTTGCTACTTGGAAAGTGTCTAGAACAGCCGAGAGAAGTGCTGGAGACTGGAAATCTAGAGCGCGTAAAACACTGAGGTCGTTGATGATTCCATGGCCTACAAACACTATATTCCGACCTAGGGGGATGAGGGATTGAATGCGATCTACGATATCTGATGGACGAATTGCGATTGTATCCCCAAAGATAAACTTTTCAGAAGCCTTTTTCAGGTACGAGGGAGATCCCGTGGCAAAGTTATACGTCGATATAAGCTTGTCTGGCGATACTTCGTGGATTTCCTTCGTATCGAGAATGGCGAGGCCAACTTGGCAATCCTTCTTCTGAGCAAATCCACTCTGGATGGTGTTGATACCCTCGAAGTCGATGGCGATGAGGACTACATCCGATAGTCTATGTGACTTGAGAGAATAGAATTCTAGATGAAAGATCTCGAGCAGAATACGTAGTCCATTCTTCGTAGTTCTTAGTTCTATGGGAGGCATGGCCTCGGTTTCTGTTTTGTTTGCTCGCCTAAGATTGATTATGACACACATCTTAGTCTACACGATGAACACTTCCTAAATCTCTTAACGTATGTTACCTACCGGAATTCGTCGTTAATGAGGCGTCGGGCGAAGATACTAAAGCGGTTGAGAATTCAGTCTTGCTATATGCACCATGTCTGCAAACATATTTTGCGCTACTAGTTACAACATGGTAGCGAAAAGTCTCTATGCCAACCAAAAGCGTCCTATACTTCCCTAAAGTGATCATTCTTTGGTCTGCGAGCTAGGTGGTAATGTTTAGAAATATAGTGACTGTGATTGGCTTGATTATCCTTGTCCGAGGGACTTATGGGCCGGAATAACGCTGACTAGTTAGGCAAAACACGTTTGCAGATATGTTGTAACGCATTGAGGCCGCCAGCGCTCTTAGGACTTGCCACTAACACGGTAGGCTGTTGGGCATCGGTGGCGGCTCAGTCGACATCGCTGATGATTCGCATACAGGGTCAGCAAGTTGATGTAGCGAAATATCTATTTTATGCATCAGTTTTCTAACTTTCTATGTATCCAAATGAGTGACAAATTCCAAACATAACAAACCACTCCCTCTATCACCTCAAATGGCATAATGAGCGACAACAGGTTGGACATGATAGATCTAAGCTGTCCTCCACTAACACCATTTTGTTGTAACCACCTCGCTAAAACCGGAATCGCAAAAGACCGATACTCAGCGGGGAAAAGCTTTCGCAGATAAATTTCGGTCAGTGGCCCCACTATCCCTAATTCTGTGACTGCCTTGTCTAACAGTAGACCTGGTAAGAATACCGGAAAGAAACATCCCAGCATCGATCAATGATACCCAAGTTTGCGGCATCGCCGTCACAGTTGTTTCCAGTGAAAACTCGAACTATTTCAATATCGTTAGCAATATTCCTTCTGGGTTCCTTTTTCAACAAGAGGATTATAATCACGAACTTTCGCATCCGGGTTGCTTCCACCACAGTTTGAGACCTTTGCCTGGGAGACCTCTACACACTCCATCGGAAACGAGGTAGTCGGTTTGTCCGCCGTTGCAGCCTGTGGAACTGAAAGTGGCGAAGGAGACTGCTTGTTCGTACTTCCCAGCGACGGCGGGGGCAGCGTGGGTGGCGAGGAGGCCAGCAATGGAAAGAATAGACGTGCTTAGCTTCATGGTGCCGGTGTTGGTTGGCTGGTATTTTGCAGTAGATAGAGCTTGGTGGAATGGAAGATGTTGTAGCGGTAGATGATGATCTGGAAGTTCAGATGAAGATGTAAGGAAGCTTTATATTCGCTGGGGTTTCAGCTCAAACGTATTGAGTCTGCTTGCACTTTTGTTCTCTACTACCATATTCCTCTTTTGTGAGACTTGTTTTCTCCAATACAGGCAAAGTGCTGATATGCTACGTCTCTTAAGGGCTCAGCTACACACTGAAGGTGTATACAACATGACACTTGGATTGTATCTAATGCACTTTTAGCTAGTCCAGAGATCAAAGTGGGTTTACACTAAAGGATGAGCGTTGGCACCTACCATAAAGGTCTTTTGCTTCAGCAGTGGTCTGATGTTACCTTGATGGAGTCTACATCTGTGGTTGCAATCCGAGAATCCTGTGGTGCTCATTAACAGCTCTACCCAGCCATCAGCTTGAACGATTTAACATTGTATGATGTTGGGTCCATACAACACCACGTGAATTGCAGTCAAACTAACCGAAAGCATCGTTAGAATACTCTTATCTCGCTTCGGCTCATCCAAAGACTACAAGCAAGGACCTTGGCATTACAAACATCTCAGTAATACCAAGATGCAGCTCTGGACTCAGAGTACATGGCGTGATGTACCGTTACATGCAATGTTGATGCCGCTGCATGCCAAGAGTGACGGGCGTAACGGACTGATGCACGCTCGCTTGTCCTACTAAAATCCTACTAAAACAACAGCTAGCCTCCTACTCTAACAAGTAATAACTCCACCATCATAACTCCATGTTACAAGCAACCAGATATGAATCTCTCCTTGGCGCACGTTGCATAGTAGGAGCGCATCGGACGCGCATGTCAGAAAAACAATAATCACGTACTTCAGCCTCCTACTACCAGAAAGATACTAACAGCCTCTCCCAACAGCCTAACATCCATCAAGACAAACACCCTCTTCCCTTACCTAACCAAGATATCCATCACGCCAACACCCGAGCCCAACCCCCATACAGCCGTTGCACACTCCTTCAGCCGCCTTCTATACCCCCCATCCCACAGCGTTTCAGCTCTCAGCTCTCAGCTCACAGCTGAGCCCACCGCCCCATCCTCCAAACAATCTTTTTTTTCCATCAGGCATAGAATACTTGCGACGCATTTCGCTGTTCGCAAAGCCTTGTGCGTGCTCTATCGAAAAGAAGTTAACCGCGCTGGTAAAACGCGGGTATGATGCAGAGTGGTGTGACAGAGAGTGGCGCTACACCGCTTCATTTCCTGCAGCGAAACTTGGGCAAGTTACTCAATGGGCACTCGGACTGAAGATCTGCCGAGTTATTTTTCTCAGCAGTACAATATACCGAATTACCCCCTGGTGGTAAGTATATGGGCAGTTGCACATGGTGTGGTTGGTCCGGATACGTAGTGACGCGGTCGGAAAATCAGGTTTCCGAGTAGGAGAGGTGGCGGTGCTGCGGGTGGTGAGGGTCGGTTGGGAAGCGAAGAGAGCAGGTGAGAAATGATAGTATGACGATTTCTGTGTGTTGTGTTTGTGCTATGAATAGATGGGATGAGGGGGAGGGGATTGTGATTGGGTGGGTGTATTTTAGGGTAGTAAGAAACGCGCGCGTGTGTGTAAGATCTGAGTGTACTAGTGCATCAGCGGTTTATAGTAGTCTACAGTATAATGCTTCGACTGGTCGATTATAGATTTAGTCTACACAAAAAAGAAACAGGACATAAACGTGTATGATATCATAATACTAGTATTTTCCCATGTATACTACACTGCCCCCGCCCTCACACTTTCATATCCATACTCATACAATCCATATCGCATCAAACACCCCCCATCTCCCTTTCCCTTTACCCATGCTTTTCCTAAGGAGCAGGGGTGTTCTACACCCTCACCCTAGCAGCACTCTCGTTGCGCTCTACCGCCATACCGAATCCAAAGTCCTTCCTCCGCTTATTCCCCTTGCGATCACCATACTGCTCGTCAAACTTCTTAATCGCATTCAGACTGCTCATGTCCTCGCTGATACTTGCGCTGATTTCCTGGAGCGCCTTGTCAAAGTGGCGGGCATGCAGTGTGCGTTTTTCGGGGAAATTATAGACTTGGCCACGGACGAGATGTGGGGGCTTAGATGATGACGACGAAGTGGCTGCAGAGTCAGTCTTGCTGGATCCAGATTCTGTGCTGTCATTGCTTTCTTGTAAAGCGGCTCTGGCGGCGGCCAGGGCAGCTTGTTCGTTTTCTTCCTTGACACAGGCGAGAGCTGCTGAGACGGCAATGTTTTTGAGGTCACTTCCGCTATAGAAAGGTGTACGCTTTGCAATGTCGTCCAGATCGACAGACTCATCTAGTTGCTCACCCCTGAGATGGATGCGCAAAATCTCTTTGCGGTCGGCTTGCGTAGGCAGATCGACGAGTAGGCGGCGAGGCAGGCGACGAATGACGGCGTCATCCAGATCAAAAGGCCGGTTTGTAGCTACCATGACGAACACGGAGAGATCGTTGAGGCCATCCCATTCTTTCAGAAATTGATTGAGAACATCGCGGTGAGACGCTCGCTCTCGCATTGCATCTCTTGATGCGAATACAGCGTCTGCTTCGTCGAGGAACACAATACATGGCGACAGTTTGCGTGCTAGCGAGAAGATGGCGGCAACGTTCTTCTCGCCCTCGCCAACGTACTTGTCCATGATCTGACTTCCAGACACTTCAAGTACCGAACTGCCACTCTCCTTTGCCACGGCTTTCGCAAGAAGTGTCTTGCCGGTACCTGGAGGTCCGTACAGCAGCGCACCCGAAATCTTCTCGGTCGCCAGGATACCATAACTAAATGCTTCAGGCCGGAGCAACGACAAAGAAGTAATTGTGCGTATCGAGTCTACAGTCTCTGTTGGCACGTGAACCTGCTCGAATGTCGTCTTGATTTGATCGGGGTCTGCGATGCCAGGCATGAGTCGCTTCTCATGCTTGTTGGCAGTAGCCGCTATTTTTTGTAGGTTGTGTTGACGCTGCATAGCCTTTTCATCCATACGTTTCCGTGCAGGGTCAGGCTCAATCTTTGCTTCCATATTGTTTAGCGTATTCTTGGACCGCTTTGACATCTCGCCCACTTTCTCGAAAAAGGTATACTTGGCAGTGTCACTGGACTTCAGCAAGCCTATGGCCAGGGCTACATGCGCCCAGCTCAACTGGCCTGGCGCATTCCCAGACTTCTGTGCCGGACTCGAAACTAGCAAACCCAGAGCTGTGAGGGCTACTCTGTGCACTTCATCGTAAGTCAGCACCCGATTGAAATGCGATTCCAAAAATATAGGCGCCCAGTTGCCGAAGCTCGATATGCTCAGTTCCATATCAGAGATGCCAGCAGCGGCAGACGGATCCAAAGAACGAAGCATATCTTGAATGTGATGTAGGTTGATGTTTCGGAATTTGATCTTTTCGTACGGCGAAATATCTGCCGAGGACGCCATACTGGTCCCGAGAGATGCAATGGCCTCGTCGAAATTTGGTGTGGCACCACCAGATTCTGCTGCCACGACAATGGTTCTGAAGAAACTACTTTCGCCCTCATTCTGAAGACCACGGACGCCGCTATGGTCTGTTAGCTTCATCACTGAGATACAAGAATCAATTTCCTCACCTGGCGTTCAGTTCGGGCGTGAGGTCGCGTGAACAAGTACTTCCTACAATCATGATGCTCTCGCCGGCAATCCGTCGCTTGCGAACAATTTCCTCAAGTCGCTGAATAATGCGACCACCATAGTGAGTGGCGTTAAGCTCCTTAAAGTCCTTTACAAATATAATTTTGGAATTTGCTGGAACACTGGGTTTCTCCGAGACCTGGCCAATCTTGACTGTTAAGTTGATGTCTGCTCTGGCGCCAGCTGGCAATGTCGACTTTAGATCAAGCTCGGCGCTTTCCTGGCCCAAGGAATAGTCAAAGAAGGCCGGGCTTTTGGACGATTTTTGTTGTTGACTAGCAGGGCGGACACGGTAAAGAGCCTCATTGCCGGTGATACCTCGACTTTGCTTGATGTGATTCGCATCAATCAAAGTTTCCAAAAGAGCGGCCAGCTTGAGATCTTCCAATTGCATCTCAGCGTGATTTTGATTACGCCCAGAATCTTCGTTTGAAGCAGCAGTAGATGATCCAAATCCATTTCCCGAACCGAGTTGCAGTCCTTGTAAATTCTGAGTCATGGCACGCAAAGCTGGTGTAAGGGCAATAATAGAGAGCGGTATAGCACGAGGACGCATCGCGTTCGGATCCGACTGTTCAACGGATGAGGCTTGTGACCACTCTGCTTCGTCTTCGGCACCGGCTTCCTGCACGTCTGCCACGAAGCCGTTTATGTCTGCATTCAGCCGATAAGTTTCATAACCCAGCGCCCTGATTGAATGCGGAGATGGCTCTGCTCCTTCGCCTAAGTAGTCGGCGGCGAGCTGAGCAAGATCTTGAGCATTCAACAAGAGGACGTCAGCGCCCGTCTCAACAGCCCAAGACAAGACACATGCATCGATGGATTCCTCATGTTCAGGCGCAGGTGAATGAAGGATTAGATTTGTCTTGGCAGCAGGGAAAGAGTCGCTGGCGGCTGGCTGTAATGCAGAGAGAGATGCAGCCATGGTGGCACGAATTTCGGCAACTACTAAGGAGGATAGATGTTTGGAAGTGCCCATCTGCCTGGTCCTGGCAACCTCTCGTTTCCTCGCAGCTATCTCAAGTTTGGCACTCTGTTTTCTCATGGCTTCAATCTTCTTGCGAGGGTCCATGTCGGGGTCGTTTTGCAGCTTGTTCAGCTTTGCCCAGGCTTCGGTGAAAGCGCCGTCGTCTGTGATTGCAGCAGCAGATACGTCACCGGGGCGTCCAGCTTCTGTGCTCGCCACTGCCTCATCATTCTTTGACTGTGATGCTGGATATTCTGCCTGATCCCTCGGTGACAATATCTCCTCGAGGTACTTGTCGACTCTGTGCTTCTCGTTGTCGTCCAATCGCCGACTCCACAGGCCACGTACCAACCGCGAGAGGAGCTGGGCCGGGTCTGATTCGGGCTGAGCAGGTACTACGCATGCAGCTTGCTCTCCAGATTCAGCGTGTGTGACTGAGACCGAAAGAACTGTAGGTGGTTGTGGGTCTTCAGGTAGGTCCTCCCGCCGTATTACCCTCCACCTTAGGAACCAGTCTGGTATGTGCACGGGCGGCAGCCCCTGAGCCTTTTTGCCTCGCTGTTGGCGTCGCAGGGCAGCAGAGTACCTGCGCGATGTCTCTCGTGACCGCTGAAGTTTTTGTGCTAGTATGTCGGGATCTTCTACGGCTACCGCGCCGTCTGCTGTGTCTTCGGTGGCGGCTGATGCTTTGTCTCGGTCCGCTGAATCAACGCCATGCTGATCTGTGGGTGTGCCATTGGGAGCTGGTGGGGGGTTTGCTGCTTGCGCGAGGGGGCGCGCAGTGTGGAAAGGCCGTAGTCGTGGTATGGATGGGTAGCGTCGACCGCGGATAAAGCGCGCTGGAGGTCTTTTCGTGGACGCTCGCAGTGCTGACCGAATCACAAACATCCGGACGTCGAGGGCACTCCCGGATATGAAGAGAGAGGAGGCCACAGGAATTGATGGCCTTTGAGCGAGGGTTGAGCACTGGGCTGGGTATGATGGCAATTTCGTCAACTTTCTTCATTATCTGAACAAGGGTCCAAGCCAAGACATGCGGCTGCACCCGCCCTACTGTACCGCTGCACCCTAGTCACGATGTATAATCGCAGAAACTTGAAACCGACTACTCGGTTTGTAACATTGATGTCCGAGACCATTGAATATTTGCTGGTGGCTGCAGTGCTGGAATTCGTGTCAAAACGTGCTGCGCAGATGACGTAACCGGCCAGTCTACATAGCATGGAAACTCGGACTGGAATAAGTAAAAGGTAGATTGCAGGTGCAGAAGGTGCTATGGTGTGCGCGGATCATGCCAAACGGCTTTTACAGAGACTGCATTGATCGGAGCAACCTGAGGCAGACATATAGCGAAACATGTGATTACATTATGCAAACAGGACACCTGCAGGGAGGAAATCATGGTGAGTAGAATAAAGGGTCGACGCAGTGGTATGGCTTGGCATCCGAAGTAAGATGAGCGATTGCTGTCACCGTGTCGGACCCGCTGGTGGGCTTGTGAGCTGGGTGTTGTATGTGTGTATGTACATGTGTATGCACTGCTGTGCTGACAGAGACGAGGTATAAATCCTGAGGGCCGCTTATCGAGCTCCCCATGCCCAGGGCCTAGACACAAATACGAAGACATGGAGATTGGCTGGCTCACGCATCGGTGGAGATGCAAAGAAGGGGGGCCTCTCGGAGAGATTGTGGAGAGGGAGCTGAGATGACTTGTCGGTCTGAAGAGATGGCTCACAATGTGTGCTCCTCTCTCCGCCAGCCATCCTTGCTTGCCATTTCATGCTCATGGTGTTTACTACATCATGCTATTGTTTACCGTGGTCATCTCCGCGCATGCACGGGGCACGCATGTAGCGCCAGCAGATGTCGCAATCGAATACAGTGCCGATGTCATTGGTGCACAGCGTGGATCCTGGAGAGGAGCGTGTTTGTATTTTGTTCTGCCACGTCGTGCGCTGTGGTGCATGGACTCTTAGTAGGCGCATGCCCGCAGCGAGGCCTATCGCCAAATGGCACCGAAGGGCAGACGCGCGTGTGGTGGCCGTGGTGTGGTTAGAGGTCGAGCGCATCGTGCACATGGGTACACAAAGTTTATAGAAGTCCATGGAGGGCAGAATATAGGCCAGCCCCGCGAATATCAGAGTGGCTGAAACGGAGCGCATGCGGTTGTGTGATGGTCAAGGTCCAAGGTTCGAGGGGCAGGGCCCACCTCGTCGGGGGTACTAAGCGAGCGGCTCTGATTGGCCGCCGCCCCTCCGCCTGTTCCTGCTGTTCCTGACTGTGGCCCGTGCACCATGGCGATCGTCAATTCCTTCTGCGTGTTGACCGCCCGGGCGAGTTGGCTGTTGAGTCCTATTCACTTGTTCAGGCGCCGGCCTGCCTACTTTACCATCTCAAACTGCCCTGCAGGGCCCCCGGCCATCTCCATCACCGTCCTCGACAATATCTATATCCTTCGCCCACTCCCCCGCCCACGTCATCTATAGGTGCGCGGTCGCTTCGCGATAGCTTCGGGTCAACCCTTTCTTAGTTAGCCGCGTACCATTGATTCCCTTACCAACCACGCGACGGGCCTTTCACCCACCTCCTCCAAGCAGGCGCACCCAGTGCCATGACGCCTTTTTGACATGTCTGCTAGCCATCCCACACCTCATCCACCATCGACCTGGAGGCCGCGATGTCGCTTACGCCCTCCAATTCCCGGATGAGCCCAGCGGTTGGGTCTGGCATCAAACTGACTGCTTCTCCTTCTCCCTTCTACAAGGCCACCCCGCGCGCCTCGCCCGTCAAGCAAGCGCGCGCCGAAGTCAACCTATCGCTGCGCCAGGTCATCGGAACCACGACCAATTCACCCAATGCCTTTGATAGTCTGCCCTCGGGTTCCACTTTTGGCTATGCTGCTGGCGCTGCAGCTGTCATTGCTGCCATAGATGATCGCGGTCATGTCACCCAGCGTTTCTATCGCGCACGGCCTGCTACCAATCCCATCAACCCCTCGGCATCAATCTACGGCGGCCCATCAACACCCACTCAGAATGAGAGCCGCAACCGCACAGCTGTTTCTCTGCGCGACGCCAGTTTTGGCGCTTCGTCAGCCTCGTCACCCAGCAGTCAGGACTGGGCTGACTCTCCCAATAACAAAGCTTGGACCACAAGGGACAAGATAAAGGCAGCAACCTGCGTTAGCTTTAGCCCCGACGGCAGATACTTTGCTGTAGGAGAGGCAAGTCACATGCTTACACCTCATTCTATTATATCCTAACTTACTTCAGACGGGTTACAAACCTCGCGTCCTCATCTTCTCCGCCTCCCCAGATGTCCCCTGCGATACCCCTCTCTCATCACTTACAGACCACACCTTTGGCGTAAACTGCGTAGCCTTCAGCCCCGACTCCCGTTTCCTTGCAAGTCTAGGCTCAGCCAACGATGGCTTCCTCTACATCTGGCACATCAACTCGCGCTCCGGAGCTGCCACGCTCCATGCTAGCAACAAGTGTGTCAGTCGAATCAACCGGATGGCATGGATGGGAAACAAACTGATCACCGTTGGCGTCCGCCACGTCAAAGTCTGGAAGATTGATGATATCAACACGACGCTGCGCATCACCAGAGGCCGCCAGAGCGATGCTTCATTTCTTTCCAGTTCCATGCACAAGACATTGCCAGGGAGGAATTGTATTCTTGACAGCCTCAAAGAATCCACGTTCACCAGCGTCGTTGCCATAGCTCGAAACAAGGCTATTGTAGCTTCCGACAAGGGAGATATTTGTCTGATTGACGATTCAGAATCAGACCAACGCTTCCGCAAGCTGGCAGATGCTGGATTCGCCGTAAGTTCACTAGCGGCAGACGTCAAAGGTCGACTCCATGTTGTCGGTAGCCAAGGAACACTAAAGACCTTCAACATCAGTGAGATTACAGGGATCAGGACTCCTCCACCATCTCCTCCTCCGCGGGTTCAGTCACCTACCGTCCCAGTTACTGATTGCGAACAAATTGGCGTCATTGCTTGCTTGAAAGACTACGTTGTCACCGTTGATTCCCAACGAGCCATTCGGTTGTCACAGCTGTGTTCTGATGATGACGATGCGGTTGTTGGTAAGGTAGTTCGCACGTTGCCAGCACATGGCAAAGCGGTACTTGGCGTACACGCAGGACTCGCTCAACCCAACGTTTTCGATGCTTCCTACTATACATGGGCTGCCGACGGAACAGTAATCTTCTGGAGTCAGGGCGCGTGTAAAGACTCTCTCCAAGTCTACCTTGAACAGCTAGACGACCCTGAGGCGATTCCCAATGAGTTGAGGACTGTGCGCATCACCGCCGACGGTACACATCTGATAGCAGGAGACAAATTCGGCGTATTGAGATTCATCAACTGTGAAACGAAGACCTGCATGCTGGAATTCAAAGCACATGCAAGCGAGATCACCAGTATCGCCATACACGAAGAAGAACAAGAGATATTTGTCGCCTCGGCCAGCCGAGACCGGACCGTGCAAGTCTTTACGCGAACTGGAGAGACTTGGGACCTGTTGCAAACACTGGACGAGCATGTCGGATCAGTGAATGGAGTTACATTTTCACGCGATGGCACGCGCCTAGTGTCGTCCTCAAGCGATCGAAGTCTGGTAGTTCGCGAACGATTGTCGCTCGAAGATGCCAATGGAACCAATCGCGCCTTCGTGATGTCACGGGCCATTATTGTAAAAGCAACACCCGTGTCTACAGCATGGGACGTCGATCTGGACGATACCCTTCTGGTTTCGACCATTGATCGTCAGGTGCACAAATTCGACATCCGCACAGGTCAATGCCTGAGCAACTTCCGTGCGTGTGATACAGATGGAGGAGACGCGGTTGTTTTGTCGTCCTTGGTCCACATATCTCGCGGCTGGGGCGCTCCATTGATTGCTGGCGTATCGAGCACAGACAAGTCGATACGTGTATACGATGACAATGGGTTGCTAGTTGCTCGTGACTGGGGCCATACCGAGGGTGTTTCCAATATTGCACTCGTAAATACGCCTCAAAGTTTAGCAGACGAGTCAAGCGAAAAGTCGCTAGTTACTGTCGCAGTAGACGGGACTATATTTGTCTGGGACCTTGGCATCCAAACACCAAGTCGTCCTGATCCACCAAAGGCTCCTGACCTACTTGCTCCAAATACGCCATCAAAAGAGGATCTGTTGTCCAACAGGCCACCTCTACGGCGCGTACTGTCGCAGTCAGAATTGGCGCGTTATCAACGCTCAAATCAAGAAGGAGACTCTACACCGAGTGGGAGTAGGTCACCGAAACTGAGGAAGAAGCTCTCAAAAATCTCCTTGGGTTCGACTTCGACACCCAAGCTAGAGCCTTCTCCTATCCCAAGCAGCGCGCGAGACGGGCAAACAACTTGTCAAGAGAAGGGCACAGGGCGGCGAAACAAGAATCGTTCGCCGTCCCCTCCAAGTCCCAGGAACACACAACGACCCAAGCGCCGCGGATCAACGGACGCTAGGAACCGTAACAAAGCACCTGCCCGCGAATTCGGGACTATTGATGGATCGACAGAGAGCTTATGCAGAACACTCCGGGCCTATAGGAAGCGCCTTGCAAACTCTACCGATACCATGAGCCCTGAGCTCGCAAAGGAGGTGGAGAGAGAACTTGCTGTGACTGCAAGAGCCATTGGTGATCGAGTCAAAACTAAGGCTTTTGAAGAAACGGTCATGATCAAGCTGCTAGACCAGTACTCTGAGCGGCTGGTCAACATGCTGGACGAAAAGATTGCAGCCAGCGTGGCCCAACGCGTGCGTGAGAGCAGCGTGGGCAATTTTTCAGACGGACCCGATTCCCCTCGCGTTTCCCACCGTCCTTCAGCAAGTAGAACCGACAGTGAGGAT